TTAGTAATAATTAACTAACCAGGAACCTGCTATTCCTGGCTTCCTTAAGTGGGAAAACATCCTTATTGCTTAAATGACTATTAGTTGGTTATTTTGTTACTTTTGGGCAAAAGCATCTTAAATTATTCACAGAGCACTGGGTGGGCTAATGCTGAAAGAGGGTTATCTAAATGGAACCACCAACAGCTACGAGTTGGACATGATACAGAGACCAACACAAAAGACAAAAAGTAAATTAACATTCATAATATATTTGGCCAGGTTTCCCAAGTTGAATCCTTACTAAAAATTTCTATGACTTAAGTAAATATTTTACACAGAGGATATTTCTTCACTCAACTCCTAAAGTACAAAAATATCAGAATAAATAGAATTTTCATAGAAAAATATGTATGAAATGAAAAAGGTTGTGTCCTATAGCAACACTAAAAAATATTTTAATTCAACACTGAAATGAAAATTACTCTGGTAATCAAAATTTTAAGAATTATAAAGATTCTTCAGCATCCTTTTCCTTCCAGAGGAAAATTTTTAAACAGAAATTTTTTAAATTATAGAAATTCTTTTGGTGGGAAAACAAGGGTTTTTCAGAAACAAGATAAAATAAATGAAAACTTTAAAATGATTCATGATCTTCACATACCCTTTTAGTTTTACCTGATGGAATCTACAACATAAGTTTCAAATAAGGTTATGAATACCAATACCAAAAGTCAGTAACTAGACAATAAAGTCTTCTTAAAAAATGGGAAAAACACAATCTACCTTACGTCTCTTTTTTCTATGAATTGTCTAGTACTCTTCCACACAGGGAATTTAAACAGACAGAAAGTAGTATTTTAGTTTACATTTTAACAAAAAAATAAAAAATGAAGCGAATTTAAAAAAGTTAATTATTAGGCCTCCAAAACCAACTCTTACTAAGACAGCACTTCATCACGGAATTGCTACAAATAAGTTGAAAACTGATAACTAGATGAAAAGTAAATATAAACAAAAGGTCAACTTGAAACAAAAATAAAACACAGCAAAAGTTACTTCCATTCCCTCTAAATAAAACACCTATCTAGATGAAAGAAACTCTACCATTGCAACATACTTTCCTTACTTGAAACTGAAGTTTTAAGCCAGTGTTTATAACAACACTGGTTGCTGTGGAAATAGTTGATCCAGCATTACAAACTCACAGCTGAATAAAGTAAGGTGTGGAAAGGAAGTCTTATTTAAACAGTGGCAAGTACCATAAAACATTAAAAAGGTAAAATGAGTGATGGCAAATCAGAGCACCATATGTTTGAATGTAAAAGTCGTAACATTTTTCTCCCGATGCCTGACACAAATAGGTTTCTTTCTTATTTAGTCCTATTTTTGGAACCCTATAATCATCTCAATCATCCCTCAAATGTCCTAAGTTTTACAATCTGCTTCTGTCTATATAACACAGTGTATATTTTATCAAACTGATCTTGCTTAGGACAGAGTTACTATACTTCAGACTTTGCCAGAACATGCAGAAGTTATGGCACCAATAGAACACAAGTCAGGGCTGTGAAAAGTTCTGCATGTAACTGATTCTCTTAAGTATAGCAGTACTGACTTATATAGCATCACTTCAGGCTGAGGTTTTGTGTACAGGTTTCAAGACTCTTTCATAAACTCTTCCAGTACAGGCACAGCTCATTTTATTGTACTTCATTTAATAGAGCTTCACAAATACTGTGTTTTTCACAAATTGAAAGTTTGTGGCAACCCTGCTTACCAGCACCATTTTTCCAACAGCATTTGCTCACTTTATGTTTCTGCATCACATTTTGGTAATTCACCCAATGTTTCCAACTTTTTCATTATTATTATATTTGTTACGGTAATCATATATTTACTGCAAATATATGATATATGATAAATCATTACAAATATGATATTTGTAATCGGTGATCTTTGATGTTATTATTGGAACTCTTTTGGGGGCATCACAAACTGCGCCCTTATAAGATGGTGAACTTAATTGATAAATGTTGTACTTTGCTCCCCTGACTGGCCATTCCCCATCCCCCTCCCCTTTGGGACATAACAGTATTCAAAGTAGGCCAGTTAATTCAACAATGGCCTCTAAGTGTCCAAGTGAAAGCAAGAGTCGTACTTCTCTCCCTTTAGATCAAAAGCTAGAATTGATTAAATTTAGTGAGGAAGGCAATGTCAAAAGCTAAAGGTTGAAAGCCAGGCCTCTTGCACCAGACAGCCAAGCTGTGAATGTAAAGGAAAAGTTCTTGAAGGAAATTAAAGCTGTGAACACATGAATGATAGGAAAGTCAAACAGCCTTACTGCTTATGTGGAGAAAGTTTTGGTGTCTGGATAGAAGATCAAACCAGCCACAACATTCCCTTAAGCCAAAGCCTAATGCAGAGCAAGGCCCTATCTCTCTTTAATTCTATGAAGGCTGAGAGAGGGGAGGAAACCGCAGAGGAAAAGCTTGAAGCTAGCAGAGGTTAGTTCACGAGGTTTAAGGAAAGAAGCCGTCTCCATAATACAGACATGTAGGGGAAGCAGCAAGTGCTGATGCAGAAGCTGCAGCAAGTTATCCAGAAGATCTGGTTGAGTGAATCAATAAAGGTGACCACACTAAACAACAGATGTTCAATGTAGATGAAACAACCTTACTTTGGGAGAAGATGCCATCTAGAACTTTTGCAGCTGGAGAGAAGTCAATGTCTGGCTTCAAAGGACAGGCTGACTCTCTTGTTGGGAACTAATGCCTGCCACTTGTGACCAAGTTAAAGAGGTGCTCACTTACCATTCCAAAAATGCTAGGGCCCCTAAGCATTATGCCAAAATCTACTCTGCCTGTGATCTACAAACTCAACAACAAAGCCTACATGACAGAACATCTCTTTACAACATGGTTTACTGAATATTTTAAGCCCATTACTGAGACCTACTTCTCAGCAAAAAGATTTCATTCTAAATATTACTGCCCATGACAGTGCCCCTGGTCACTCAAGATCTCTGATAGGGGTGCACAGGTTAATGCTGTTTTCGTGCCTGCTAACACAATACCCTGATCTGCAGCCCACAGGTCAAGGAATCATTTTGACTTTCAAGTCTTGTTTAAGAAATACATTTCATAAAGCTAAAGCTGCCATAGATAGTGATTCCTCTGATGGATCTGCGCAAAGTCAATTGAAAACCTTTTGGAAAGGATTCACCATTCTAGAAGCCATTAAGAACATTCGTGATTCATGGGAAGAATGGTAAGAGGTCAAAATATCAACACTACCTAGAGTTTGGAAGAAGTTGATTCCAACCCTCATGGATGACTTTGAGGAGTTCAAGACTCCAGTGGAGGAAGTAACTGCAGATATGGTGGAAATAGCAAGAGAACTAGAAATTAGTAGTGGAGCCTAAAGAATTGCTGCAATCTCATGATAAAATTTGAATGGATGAGGAGTTGCATGAGCAAAGAGCTAGAATCTACTCCTGGTGAAGATGCTGTGAAGACTGTTGACAACAAAGGATTTAGAATTCAACAAACTTGGTTAATAAATCAGTGGCAGGGTTTGAGAGGATTGACTCCAATTTTGAAAAAGTTCTATTGTGTGTAAAATGCTATTAAACAGCATTACACATTACAGAGAAATTGTCTATGAAAGGAACAATCGATGTGACAAACTCTATCTTATTTTAAGAAATTGCCACAGCCACCCCAACCTTCAGCACCACCACCCTGATCAGTCAGTAGCCATCAACATCGAAACAAGACCCTCAACCAGCAAAGATTACAGCTTGTTGGGAGTTCTGATGATGGTTAGCATTTTTTTGGTAATAAAGTATTTTTTAAATTAAGTTGTGTACAATATCTTCACACATAATGCTATTACTGGACACCAGTATAGTGTAAGCATGACTTTTACATGCACTGGGAAACCAAAACATTCATTTGACTTGCTTTCATGCAATACTGGCTTTACTGCAGTGGTCTGAAACCAAACAGCAGTATTTCTGAAGCATGCTTGTACAAACACTGTCAGAGAATGTTAATGAGCACCCAGGTCCACTTCATACCCTTGTAGCTTGGCCGCCAACCCCAGTACTGTCATCACATTCTGAATTTGTTCCTCCACTTTTATAAGTCAGTTAAAAGTTTTCCAAGCAATCTTGAAAACCCTCAAGACACTTTTTATAGAAACTGTAACTTTTTGAACCTTAAGTGTATGCTCCTAGGCTCTGCCTTTGCTTCCCTTTCTGCTTTTTAATTGGAGATGGACAACACTTTAAATGCACACACTTTAATCAGTCTTTTCCTCTGGTTTTCTGAATCTTTCAAATTATGACAAACATTCTGAAATCAGAAATTTTACCCTTTGTAAAATACAACATACTTAACAAGTTTTTAAAATTATGTGTGTGTGGCTATTAAAAAAATAAAACCCTTAGGAGATAGTAAGGAAACCAGCTCTCTGAATAGCAACACAGATTCCCTCTGCAGCTGGCAGTGCCAAGGGCAGGCGGGACTGCCCTCTGCATGTGCACAGGAGATCAATTCATAGCTAGCAGAACTGGAAAAATCACAACTGAGAGCAGCAGTGGAGGCAGTGAGAGCCAAGAGCAGAATGTAAAGGAGTCTGACTTTCTGTGAGGTTAGTTACAGGAAACACTCCAGCCAGGGTCAGGAGGCTCAGCACACCACTCTCCTTTGGTTAAGAATGTAGGTCAAGCTCCCTGGGCTCTGGCCTTCAGAGACTCAAAAGGAAGGGCTAGGACCCAAGTCTCAGAGACAGAAGCCCAATTTCTAGGGAGCAAGAGGCTGGCCACTGGCCTTCATCTATACCGGAATGTGATGTGAACTCATTCATTCCAGAAGTGAACAAACTGGAGCACTGGGCTAGCTCTCCTTTCTCTTCCAAATGTGGGCCACTTCATGTGTTCTTATGAGGGCTCACGGGATGAAAGACCCCAGAACCACGGCTCAAGTTAGGTTATACATGATGGACAGTCAGCTCACCCAGTTCTGTCGACACGGGGGAACTGGTGGCAATCTCACCAACCTTGGCCACTCCATCGTAGTAGGCTTTTCCTGCCAGAACCATAGCTAGATGGGGAAGGTAACACACAAAGTCATGACTTAGACAAAGAAAGTGACACAGAGGTTTTCTTCTAAACATCCCTTGGTTCCTTCTGGCTGCAGCAAATATGGCTCTCAGAAGGCAGGGCTTATGCTTGATCGCTTTCCAGGGGCAGAGGTCCCTCTGGAGGCTTCCATCCACTGGATAGTCTCGGGATTCTCACTCAGACCAGCCGTGGGAACCTGCAGCAGCAGGTGTTGGAAGTCCAGAAAAGGCCTTGCATGCTCCTGATGCTAATTCCAGAATGTAGGTGTTCATAACATCAAATGAGGGCTGGAAACACATTTACTCCAGCAAGAAATATTTTCTGAGCTGGTTTTTCTACAACAGTATAGGACAGCAACATTATTAGTTCGGACTTTTGTGGGGTGGCCTAGGAACCTTGTCCTTCAATGGCGTATTTACTTTTTCTATTGAAAAAAAAACATTCTGACACTAACAATAACATACCTATTGCCAAGGGGAAAAAAAAATCTATGAGGTCTGAAAAACATTATCATTCCAAAAAACAATAGGATTATCTGAAGAATAACTGAATGCTCTAATTTTTTTCTTCTTACTTTTTGGCTGAGACAAAGAAAACTTTTCTTTTTTGTGGGAGGGGGATGTTGGGGAGAGGAGTCAAGGATGAGAGAGACCTACCTGGTTTGAATTCTACCTTTACTTCTAATGACTGATCTCCTTGGGCAAGTTATCCTTTCTGAAATAAAGGATGGTCACCTATAAAATGTCCTAATAGCCCAAGCACTCAATAAACAGAAGCTGCTAATATCAATCCCTTCTCTCACTTTACAACAAGGTAGGTTTGGAGAGACTGACATTGTATAACAAGCAAGGTTTTCAAAAGACCTATCTATTTAGTGTGATTCTGGAGAAAATATTTTATTTTATTTTACTCAAAGTCTGGCTCTAGGGAACACAGAAGTGTGGAGTTAAAAGAGCCCTCAGCAATCTTTGGGATTCCTTTTCTTTCACTGCAAAAAAAACCAGAGGCCACATCAGTTGCCTTGCCCCAGTTTATAATGGGTATTGTCTTTAAAAGGTGGATTAAGAAAGGCACTAGTATAAAAGAGTGTGTGTGAGGGATGTCACAGAATGAGTAAGGTTACAAAGTCCAGCTGAAGATACTGCAGACCAGAAAAGGAGTATTTTCATGGAAAATTAATCTATTTTAATAAAAGTTATGGCTTTTACTATATATGTATACAAATTTAGGAAGTGTAATGCTGTGCTACAGTTACACCACATGACTGAGGATAACCTTAAAGTATAATTATAAAAGAGAACAATAACAAGTAGCATTTAAGTAGACTTTCTAAGTCATTAATTAAGTTAATCTACCCAATAGTGTTAAGACATGGGAAGGTGATGTCATGATCCTGTTTTGTGAAGGGGAGTGGAGATATTCTGGGATGTACCCAAGGTCAATGGGGAATCACAGGCAGGGTACACAACTCTGACTAAGGGACTTCATTTCCTCAGTTCTAACTTATGGTGCTTTTTGACTCTTTGGTCTCAGCTAGAACTGAAAAAACAGATAACTCCACCTAAATACAAGGTTGGTAGCCAATAAGCTGTCAAGTTAATATATGTGATATTTTAGCATACTGATAAGCTGAAAAGTTGAACTAGTGGAAGAATATCACACAGGATTACATAATATTTAAACAAAAATTTTGGTTTGTACCCACACATTAAATTGAAAATTTTTCATTAACTGTTAACTTATGTTTAAAACTATTTAACCTTGCCAAATCTCATAAGATATCCTTGCTTTTATGATAAGGTTGAATTAACTTTTAAATTATATAATTTATTCCAGAAGTAATAAAGGATAAAACAGTATTTTCATAATTTTGTCCCCCTTTGTGAACACATTAAGAGATATTTCTACCACGTATTATTTTAAGGAATGAAGCATATTCATTCTATTTCAGTGGTTAACCGGCTATTTCATTATTCTGATCTACATACTTCTACCAGATAATTTTTCCTTAAAATATGATTTTATTAGGTTACAGTTCTGCTCAAAAACTTTCAAAGGCCTCCCACTGCCCACAGGGTAAGCCCACACTCCAGAGTTCATGACAGATTTTCACAGTAATGGCCTTCAGCAAATCACACCTTTCAAAATCCCCAGCCTGTGTAGCCCCCTATACATTGAGGGCGTGGCCTGGCCATGTGACTTGCTTTGACCAATGGGATACCAGCAAGCCTAACTTCCAAAGGGACTTCTACTGGTGGAACAGTCTAGCTCCCAGCCCAGACCAGGTTCTAGCTGACTTCAGCTTCAAGAGTGAGCCCTAGGGGTCCTGGGAACTACTCTGCCTTTACAGGACCAAGAAACTATTGTTTTAAGCCTCCAATTTTAAGGACAATTGTTATGCAGCAATAGATAGCTGGCATTGCATTCAAGTGCATTAATTTGAACTAATTACACTTTATATCTTACTATTCAACAAAAGCTTCTCACCTGCCAGCGTGGACCCCAGGTCTTGGCTTGGATGTTGTCTTTTCTGAAGTACCTGAAGCACTGCTATGCAGCATAAGCCAACTGAAACCTAACATCTCTCAGCTGGCTCAGCTCCTACTAGGCCTCCTGCCTGCTCCATTCCCCATCAACCTCCACTGTTCAAATTCTTGTGACGTGGTGCATCCTGTGCCTGTTTCCCTGGGTTATAACCTGCTGGCTGCATATCTGGCATCCTCAACTATACTACAAATTCTTACCAAGGACTTCAAAATTTATCTAAATTTCTCAGTGGCTTCAGCAAAAGCCAGAAATTCCAGAAATACTGTATGAAATGCAGAATAATTTCCAGGAGGTGTTAAAGTGGTAAGAGCCCTTTGGGGAGAAGTCTTGTTAGCAGGAGACTAAACTGTAGGCAGCTCCCCCAGTCACCTTGTAAAACTGCTGCAGAGGTAGCAAATGCTAGAAAGAAAAAAAACTATTGCAGGTCATGGGGACTTCCTTCACAGGGACATCTAAAGCATGGCTTTTCTGCCTTGTGATGAAACAGACACCAAGGGAGAGTCAGCTGTGCATGACTTCCAAAACAAGGCTCCTGGTCTTTGAAGGAGGGAGGGGGGTATCCACACAAGTCCCTGATACTGCTGAAGGGCTGGGGAGGAAAATCCCAGGCCTGCTGCATTTCTTGACATGGAAGATGTCTGACAAACAGCACAGGGATCCAGAAGAAAGTAAGTTTACTTTTCCAGGGACTACAACAATGGGCACCTGTCATCCAAAGTTTAGACAGCATACCCCCTTTCCTGTGGCATGTTCATGCTGAGTGTGTATAAGGCCAAAGATTTATTTTCAAAATACCAACTGAGAGAAGACATAAGTGGGACATGGTGAAAGAGAAATAAAAGATATGTAAAGACACAAAACTTGATCTACCATTAAATTTTTGACTATTACTTGGATGTTCTCAGTGAACCAGGGTAGAGGGTGAAACTGGGATCTGTACTTGCTACATAGGGTAATTGTTTTGACTTTGTTCGAATTTGGTGATTGTTAGCATCTCAAGTTTTTATGATGATCATTAATAACAATCACCTTTTATTAGGGAAATGTATGTGCAGATACATGCCAGCTTCCTCAAATGAAAACTTTTTCAAACTAGCAAACAACTCTGGTTCACAAAGACAGACAAAAGCCAATGCTTGAATTCATTTTAAAGGAAGCACTCATTTTGAAATGAGAATCTAAGGTCAACCTTTAACTTAGATGCCTTTCCACTCTGGCTAAAAATTTTATTTCTCATGTCACTATTGAAAGTGATAAACCCAAAGGGAAGAAATTCTTCTGTATAAATTAAAGGAGAATAATTCCTATGATGCAAGACACTAACAAATATTTTAAATACACATTTTATGTATGTTCTTAGTTTACAAAGAATTTGGTTTCAAAAGTAGAAAACACTGTTCATGATAATGATATAAAAGATTGAACTATGTCAAAAAGATTTAATAATTAAATACCTTACTTACAGTAGCTCATTATTCTGTTTACTCATTTCAAATACACTAATATCCTACCACTGCAAAGTTCTGTAGATTAAATCATTATAAATAATTTCTACCAATTTAAAGATATTTTAAAAATTCAGTATTAAGCATTAAAAAATAGGTAAAATATTGACTGAACAGCTTTTACTTGTGCTCTATATTTATAAACTTAGAAAATAGAAGACTTACCATTAACAGCTTTTTCATAATTTTTTCCTAGGTTTATTAAATTTCGTAGTCCAGGATTAAACTGTTCCATAACATTCTGACAAACAAATAAAACAAACAAATTAATAAAATAAGCCAGCAGTAGATCAAGTCTTTAGATTTTGTCACTGCATAGACTGGGATGTCTATGTATGCTTGATAGCAGAGTCTATAAAGTCATGAATATTTATTTAAAAATGATGAAGAACATGTATTTCTTTACTGATGGAACAGGGTGCTCCAGTGCATTTGTGACCCTGGCAGCTCTCCAGTTGCCCAACAGCTGCTTAGAACCTACTGTACATGCATCAAGTAGTAGAAGAGCCCGTCTCTACAAAGCACACCCTGCAGAGGTTGTGGGCCAAGGAGCTAATGCTGCCTTTGGGTTTACATAAGTTAATGGTTGACATTCTCATGTTAAGAAACAGGAACTTGATCGGAACTTAATTACAGGAGCAATGTTTTGGCTATACATAGAACAAAAATTTCCAAGAGATTTTGTTTTTCCTATACCTACTTAATTGGGGAGGGTATGAGGGTGGGTGTTACTGATGGCTCTAGGACACAGGCCAGCCTGGAACCTTCTTTCTAGGTGGTCACTGGCATTTTCTTTCCCAGTGATTGGTCTATCCATTAAGTACTTTTGGACTAACTAGACAGAAAGACATGATTTCCCTCATGGAGTCCCTGATGCCATACCTCTGTAGATGTCATGGTTTTCATTTTTAAAAGTGTCATTTCCATATCATTATAAAGCCATAAACATAGAGACAAATGTTATGACAAGCATAAGACAGGTGATTATTTAGAATGTTGGTCTTCATTTAACATAGGAAATCATTCCTCTGGGGCTCTGACCACTTGACTCAGAACACATGGCTCAGTATATTTGTTCTGCTTACAAACAAGGAACATCACACAATACTAATCATTCCAGATAAACCACTCCAGTCTCTACCCACCTCACAAAACATGTACCCTGTTTGTAGAGAACCAGGCAATAAAATGAATGAAAAGCCACGCAACAAAGGGCTGACACTTGACACACATGTTCCCTGGGATAAAAAGGTTCTCCATCATGAGTGAGTAGAGAACATAATAACTTCTATTTTATCAAACTGTGATAAGGGCTTATCCTGGAAAACCACCTCATGCCTCAATCGTACCCCCTACCCTCTGCCTGCCCTTAGCTTCCCAAGAGCACTTTCACCTAAGCTGTTAATCTTGTTTTCCTACCATAATTTTGAATATTATTTTGATTTCTCAATTTTGGACAATCCCTACTGGCTTTCCCCTACAGTAGATGAGGATTTAGTTCTCTATGTCACTTCACTTTCCCTTTGTCAATCCTTCCTATAAAATTAAATATCAATTTCCCGGTAAGCCAATCATCAAGATTTATTATGACTTTGTAAATATTGGTCAGTACAATGCAAGGAATGTACCAATGCTTACATTTCCTTCCTTGATACAGCCTTTTTGTTTCTCCTGGGATTAAAAATTGTCTCATCCCTACCCCCAGCCTTAGTGTTTAGTTTTCTATGTATCTATCTTGGATTTTTCCACATGTTCCATCAGATCTAGCAGAAGCCTATCAATATTATTTTTCAAGTGCACAAAGTTGTCAGCTAATCTTCCATTCCATTTTTTTCCCCAGAACTTCCTCCAAGGACTCTCCGTCCTCTTGCTCAGTCTAGCCTGACTGACTCCGCCATACTGTTGCCCTTGCATGTCCCTTTCTGGTTCCCTGTATTAGAGCTCTCATTAGCTAGATTTCATATCTTCCTCTTCATTTATTTCTATTTGTTGGAGATTATTCTCCAAGAATGACCTTAGAAATGATGCATTAAAATTGAGTCCCCATATGTCTCAAATTGTCTTTACCTTGTGGTATTTTGCTGGGTACAGTATTAGAGATTGAAAGTGACTTCCCTTAGAATTTTAAAGATATTGCCCCACTATCTTTAATACCCATTTTTGCTAGAAGTTTGCTACCCAGTTTTGGTGAGAGGCCAGCCATTTCTTCTTCCTTTGTATATGACTGTTGGCAGAGCGGGGGATGACTGTTCTTTTCTCTTTATTCTGTTTTTTGAAACAACGTAATAGTCTGTCTCAGTGTGATAACTGCATTTATTTTACTGGGCTGTCAACAGACCCTATCCATGTAGAAAATAATGTACTATGTTCTGTTGACTGAAATCATATTATGTTCTATATACCTATATAGAGAATTAGGTTTGAAAAATGTTCCTGTTTTGTTTCTTGTCTCTTCATTCTTTCTGAATCTCTGATGAGGATTTTATATACCCTGGATTTATTTACTAATCATTTAATCTTTTTTCTCATATTTTCCACTTTTTGTTCTATATCTGATAGATACCCTCAACTTTACATTCCAACTTTTCTATTATGTTTAAAAATTTTTTATATCGATTTTAATTTGGGCTCTTTTAAATTTTTCATTATTCCTTTTGAAAAGCATCCTGTTCTTGTTTTATCGATACAATATCTCTAATATGAATAAAATGTAGCTTTATCTCCTGATTATTTCTTCTCATTGTTTGGTATCCACCTGTCTTTTGTATTGGAGGCTTTCCTCAAATGTCTGGTGATTCGTGATCTTCAGTTCATATTTAGGAGTGAAGCCCTAAAATGATTTCTAGAAGCCTGTGGGTGTGAAAGTGTATACAGATTTGTATAACCACCATCTTAACTATAATACAGAACTGTTCTGTCAGGTAGCTAGGCAGATATGAGCAGGTCCTGCCCTGTCCCGGACAAGGTCCTCCCCCTTTCCACCTACCCCCTTGTCACCAGATGGCAGAATACACCCCAAACCCCTCCTGTTTATGGTTCAGTCTCCTGTCTTATCAGGGCCAAACAAGATATAAAAAGTCCAACACTTCCAGACTATCAACACAGGTTGGCCACAGGCGCACTAAGACCCAGGAGGTGGCCTGGAGTTACCTTGGGGTTCATTTTACCATAATTATAATAAATTTACATTGCATTACACCTCCCCTTATCCCACCCGCCTACCTGGGTTTCACTTGGGTACTTAGGGATTAGCACCTATGCACCAGGGAAAAGGTTATATAACCTGAAACTGTCAATCAACATGTCAATTAAATGATGTAAGACACAGGGAAGGACTTTCCACCAGTTTAAAAACCAACCCCAACTCTAATAGTAGAGCTGCTTCTGGTTTCCAGACAGCTTGCTCTCCACCCTTCTTGAGAATGTATTTTTACTTTGCTTAATAAACTCCTGCCACTTAACACTGTCCTAAGTCTGTCTTTTGATTGAATTCCTTTGAAAACACAACCAGCAACAGGTCCAATAACACAAAAATCTCCCTCATCTACCCCTTTATGGCCACACCTTCCCCACTAGTCCTAACTCCTGGCAACCACTGATCTCCATCATTATAATTTGGTCACTGTGAGGATGTTCTATAAACAGGATCATACAGTATGTAACCTTTTGAAATTGGCTTTTTCACTTAGCACAGCAACATTAAAAACCATCCAAGTTGTTGTGCGTATCAACAGTTTATTATTTGTTTTTTTGCTAGTAGTATTCCATAGTATAGATGTATCACAATTTATTTACCTATTTACCCTCTGAACATTTGGGTTGTTTCACTTTTTGGTAATTACAAATGCATTTGATACAATCACACATAGGTTTCTGTGTGACTATTAGTGTTCCTATCTCTATGATAAACACCTGGGAGTTCAAATCCTGCGTCATATGACAGGTGTATGTTTAACTTTACAAGAAATTCCCAAACTATTTTCCAGAGTGGCTGTACCATTTTACATTCCCATCAACAATGTATGATTTCAATAATTTAAAAAATCTAATAACTTCATTAGAAAATGGTTATTTTCTAATAAAAAGATAAAATTAGTTTTCAAATATCTCATATAAAATTCTTACAATAATCTTGAGACCAAGTCTAGATAGTGAGAATATAAATTCTAGTAGAAGGAAAAAACTATTTTTTAAATATCACTTAAAATCCTTATAATAATCTTATGAGGCTGTCTGGATGGTATGAATATAAGGAAATATACTGTTAACTAATCCTGTCCTCTAGCATATAGGCAGTCACAAAAAAGAGCCCACATTTGTGTTCTTTCTTAAGATTATTCTTAGTCAGCTCATCAGTTTAAAAATATAGTTCTTAAAATGTTTACATATAACTCCACTCAGAGAAGAATATGGATAGTCTAGGCTAAAATAATGGCAATATCTCTGCTCTACCTGTGCTGAGTCTCATAAGAAGCGGGGTTGGTTCTATCACAAAAGCTCAGCAGCACTGGAGAATTAGAGGTGGGCTATTCCAAATAAAATGTTAAGGAACAGCCCACTCAGAATCTACTGGCACTTTCCACCAGATTTCTAGCTGGTCCATGTACTGCATGCATTTCCTATGCCTCCTGTAGAGTTACAGCTCATAATTTTAAAACAAATAATATATAATCTTATAATGGCTTTAACTTCACTAGTTAGATTTCTCTTTCATTTTTGAAAAATTATTACCTTTACCAATATGGGACTATAGACTATGAAACAAATACTATTATTACTGGCCAGATACTTTGACTGTGCTGACTTCAAAATTCTAAGAATTAGTTTCTCTTTCCATTTCTTTTTCCAGTTCTCTACATGACCCAGAAAAAATTATTTGATATTTCAGAACTTTATTTTTCTCAGTTGAAAAATGTGGGTAATATTGACACTGAAGTAAGCTTTAAAGGTGATTTAAGGATCTCTAATGAGGTAGGGATTTTTAAAAACTTGATTCAAGTAATGTTTATATCCTTGACATTTTTAATATTACTCTATATAATCTCAAAGTAATCTAGCAATGGCACAAATGCTTAAACTAACCACAGCACATTCTAATTTCATGTGACAAGACTGTCTGTTAATATGGGTTATTGTTTGAGAATACTTCTACGTAGAAAATCTCGCTTCCTCCTTCCTCTTGTTGTTGGAGGTGCGGCTCCTGGACTAACATCATCAGTACTTGATTATGTCCCCTGCCTT